CCATCATCCTGGGACCCCTGGACTCCCTACCTGCTCCAGACCCCTGATATCCGCTCATCTCCAGGCTGAGCCCCACTCCCAGGGCCCTGTGCCCTCACCTGGTCCCCCCCGGCCCCACCCAGTTTTCCAGTGTCTGGGGCAGGCTTTGGGGTGCTGAGTCTGTCACTGTAGGTGCTGGGAGAGGGTGTGGCGATGTGCTCACTGAGGAGGTGCACTAAGTAGGACTTGCTCACTCCCACTTGGGCCACGGGAGCCACGGGAGGAGCTCACAACCACGCTGGCAGATACCGACTCACACGTGGGCCCGTTCTCATTAAACCCAAGTGGCCCGACCACAAGCGGGTCTGAAAGGTGAGACCTGGCCCGGAAGGTGCTGAGCAGCCCAAGAAGATGGTGTGGCCAGGGCGGGGCCTGGGCGGGGCCCTGGATGGGGGTGCTCGGTGCGGGTGTTCCTGAGTGGGATGGCTGGTGGGAAGGCAGCAGAAGAGGAGTCTCAGGGGAGAGGGGGCTTTGGGAAGAGGGGGCCTGGGTCCTGGGTGGGGGCCTGCCCCCAGGCTGGGCCATCTCCGGGGCTTGAGGCGCCAGTGTGAGTGGACTGCCCCCCACTCGCTCAGCCCTGGGCTTGAAGGGAGAGGTGTCACCTTGTAATTAAAACAAGATGAGAAACCATGAAAACCAGGACAGGAGGTGCGCTGTCACCCACACAGCAGGTGCTGGCGCACAGATCGGGTGTAGGACACGGATACACCAGTGGGCACATCTGGACAGAAGTTGTCATACAGACCAGGACAGACGGCGCGGGGTGGTCTGCGGCCAGTGTCTCCCCACCTCGCACCCCGTGTCGGAGGTTCGCCCCCTGAATGGACAGGCACAGTCCCGAGGCCCCTCCTGAGGCTCCGTCAGGTCACTCAGCATGACATTTCCTGGGCCACTGACACCCGTGCTGTCCCTGGGGCTGCGTGTCCACTAAGCCCACTCCACGGGGACATCCAGGCACCCGGGGGCGCCCACAGAGCTGTAACAGCAGCGAAGGGGACGGGTCCGTCTGGCGGCCGTCTCTACTCGTGGGGCTGAACCTCCACGTTAAGCACGGCACCGTTCAGCGTTGGTTTCCTCCCGCTGTCTGCAGGCTCAGCGTTGGGTTTCTCTTGCTGTCTGCAGCAGCTGAGCCCCCGCTGCAGCTGGGCCAGCACCCCTGGCGCCCTGGGCAGGGCGGAGCCTCGCGGAGGTCCTGCAGGACCCGATTGAGACATGCCTGTGGCCACCAGGAAGGGGCCTGGGGTGCCGTGGCCTCACCAGCTCCCTCAGACCCCATGTTGCCACGTCCCACATGAACACACGTTAACAGCATCGAGGAGGAGCCGAGGCGGCTGGTGTGGGTGAGAGCCCCGTTTCCCCAGAGTGGGGTGCATCTCTGCAAATAAGACCCTCACACGGCGGGCGGTTCTGGGAGATACAACGTAAGGCACGTGGGGAACTCAGGGGTACATTCTTGTCGGCCCCAGGCCCCACGCTGCTGGCGCCTGGCGTGGTGGCGACCAGGGCCTCCCGTGGTTTGGGGAGGCCTCGCCCGGCAGGCAGACGAGATGGGCAAACGTGGAGCTGAGCTCAGCAGCCTGCCGACTCGGCTGCACAGAGGCTGCGGGGAGGACAGAGCCCAGGCGGGGCCCTGGCGGCAGCTACACACAGCTGTGTCAGACGCCGCCCCAGCTCTCGTGGGGGACATGTGGTGGGAGGCTGCAGAGGAGGAACTGAGGTCTGAGACGGCCAGGGAGGGGCTGCCCTGCCTGTCCAGGCTCACTGTCCTTGGCCCTCACCCTCACCTTGGCCCTGGCACCGGCCGCTGAGCAGGACGAGGGTAGCCCAGCTGGCGTGGGGCTGGGCGGGCACCCTCACCCTGTGAACCTCGAGCCTGTGGGGAGGCCGTCACCCTCCCAGCAGGCATTCACAACACGTGGACGTTCCTGGGACTGGAACCCACTTGGAACACGTGCCCCCTGAAGTCACTGGGTGGCGGGCGTCCCTGCACTGTGCACTCGCTGACGGGACAGCTGTCCGTGCCGTGCGCCAGGGCTCCCGCTGTTGAGGGCTCCCCGGGCGGTGTGACGGGGCGTCACCTACAATCAAGTGCAACCTGCCTGTGTGTCCCTCCTCCGTGAGGTGCGGGTCCAGGTGACGCAGCTCACACCACGCAGAGCTGATGATGACATCGAGGATTACAATGAACCCACAAGCCTCTTTCATCCCCATGTGGCCCAGCTGGTGGGCGAGAGGGAGCACGCTGTCCCCAGCCCAGCTTAAGCATCAGTCCCACCTGCCCGGTCGGGAACAGGGTCACGTTGTTACGGGGAGTCAGTCACCGGGAACAGTGTCACGTTGTTACGGGGAGTCAGTCACCGGGAACAGTGTCACGTTGTTACGGGGAGTCAGTCACCGGGAACAGTGTCACGTTGTTACGGGGAGTCAGTCACCGGGAACAGTGTCACGTTGTTACGGGGAGTCAGTCACCGGGAACAGTGTCACGTTGTTACGGGGAGTCAGTCACCGGGAACAGTGTCACGTTGTTACGGGGAGTCAGTCACCGGGAACAGTGTCACGTTGTTACGGGGAGTCAGTCACCGGGAACAGTGTCACGTTGTTACGGGGAGTCAGTCACCGGGAACAGTGTCACGTTGTTACGGGGAGTCAGTCACCGGGAACAGTGTCACGTTGTTACGGGGAGTCAGTCACCGGGAACAGTGTCACGTTGTTACGGGGAGTCAGTCACCGGGAACAGTGTCACGTTGTTACGGGGAGTCAGTCACCGGGAACAGTGTCACGTTGTTACGGGGAGTCAGTCACCGGGAACAGTGTCACGTTGTTACGGGGAGTCAGTCACCGGGAACAGTGTCACGTTGTTACGGGGAGTCAGTCACCGGGAACAGTGTCACGTTGTTACGGGGAGTCAGTCACCGGGAACAGTGTCACGTTGTTACGGGGAGTCAGTCACCGGGAACAGTGTCACGTTGTTACGGGGAGTCAGTCACCGGGAACAGTGTCACGTTGTTACGGGGAGTCAGTCACCGGGAACAGTGTCACGTTGTTACGGGGAGTCAGTCACCGGGAACAGTGTCACGTTGTTACGGGGAGTCAGTCACCGGGAACAGTGTCACGTTGTTACGGGGAGTCAGTCACCGGGAACAGTGTCACGTTGTTACGGGGAGTCAGTCACCGGGAACAGTGTCACGTTGTTACGGGGAGTCAGTCACCGGGAACAGTGTCACGTTGTTACGGGGAGTCAGTCACCGGGAACAGTGTCACGTTGTTACGGGGAGTCAGTCACCGGGAACAGTGTCACGTTGTTACGGGGAGTCAGTCACCGGGAACAGTGTCACGTTGTTACGGGGAGTCAGTCACCGGGAACAGTGTCACGTTGTTACGGGGAGTCAGTCACCGGGAACAGTGTCACGTTGTTACGGGGAGTCAGTCACCGGGAACAGTGTCACGTTGTTACGGGGAGTCAGTCACCGGGAACAGTGTCACGTTGTTACGGGGAGTCAGTCACCGGGAACAGTGTCACGTTGTTACGGGGAGTCAGTCACCGGGAACAGTGTCACGTTGTTACGGGGAGTCAGTCACCGGGAACAGTGTCACGTTGTTACGGGGAGTCAGTCACCGGGAACAGTGTCACGTTGTTACGGGGAGTCAGTCACCGGGAACAGTGTCACGTTGTTACGGGGAGTCAGTCACCGGGAACAGTGTCACGTTGTTACGGGGAGTCAGTCACCGGGAACAGTGTCACGTTGTTACGGGGAGTCAGTCACCGGGAACAGTGTCACGTTGTTACGGGGAGTCAGTCACCGGGAACAGTGTCACGTTGTTACGGGGAGTCAGTCACCGGGAACAGTGTCACGTTGTTACGGGGAGTCAGTCACCGGGAACAGTGTCACGTTGTTACGGGGAGTCAGTCACCGGGAACAGTGTCACGTTGTTACGGGGAGTCAGTCACCGGGAACAGTGTCACGTTGTTACGGGGAGTCAGTCACCGGGAACAGTGTCACGTTGTTACGGGGAGTCAGTCACCGGGAACAGTGTCACGTTGTTACGGGGAGTCAGTCACCGGGAACAGTGTCACGTTGTTACGGGGAGTCAGTCACCGGGAACAGTGTCACGTTGTTACGGGGAGTCAGTCACCGGGAACAGTGTCACGTTGTTACGGGGAGTCAGTCACCGGGAACAGTGTCACGTTGTTACGGGGAGTCAGTCACCGGGAACAGTGTCACGTTGTTACGGGGAGTCAGTCACCGGGAACAGTGTCACGTTGTTACGGGGAGTCAGTCACCGGGAACAGTGTCACGTTGTTACGGGGAGTCAGTCACCAGGAACAGTGTCACGTTGATTCATGGGGAGTCAGTCACGGGGAACAGTGTCATGTTGAGTCACAGGCACACGTGACAGGATGTCACAGATGACAGTCACCAGGCACAGGGCCGGCCTTAGCTGCAGGCCAGCCCTGCGTGTGGGTCAGTGCAGGCTCTGTCAGTGGTTCCTCAGACTGCGGCCCCGCCTCCCGGCTCTGCACTTGCTGATCAGAAAACCTCCCGGAGACGCTGCTCGCGGCACCCATGGTGTAGGAGCACCTGGTGCCAGGAAGGTAGTTTCAAGGCCCAGAAAACCAGAAAAACGCTTTATTTGATGGCATTGCTGGAGCGCTGCTTTGAGGAGAAACGGACAATCCACCCACTGCCTCACGTGAGCGTGTGGTGAGCGCGGGGAGGGTGGCTGGAGCGCGGTGGGCACGGCAGGATGTCACCTCCTGGGCGGGAAGCCCCCGAGGCTGGCAGACCCTGTGGAGCACAGCCCAGTGACACCGTGTGAGCACCACCAGCCCTGAGGCACCAAGGGGAAGCTCAGACACAACTCGGGAACACGTGCTGCCACACACGCCACGCTGGTCACGCGCTCTCCAAGGGAGGCCGAGGTCCTTGCCTGACTGCTGCCTCTGCAGGAGCCCGGAGATGCTGATGGGCGGCCTGGGTGCCGGGGCCGAGCCCCCTCCTCCCGCTCTGCCAGCCGCCTGGAGGCCGAGGTTTTGGGACGCCCCCAGGCCGGGCATCAGCACAGGTGGGATCCTAGGAGCAAGGTCACAAACAAAATCACCAGCGCTTCAAGTGACTGGCAACACGATGCTTTTTAGTTTTAAAGGCCACATGTTGATTAAAACACCTTCCCAGTGCCCAGGAGGAGGTCGCGCACTGTGCTTGGGCGATGGCACTGGGACAGCGGCACACGCAGCGCCCGGCAGGCAGCCTCTGATGTGTGGGGGCTGCCCCTTGCCAGGGCCGGGTGCCTGCTCTCAGCGGGCCCTCCCACTGCTGTCCTCTGTGCTGGTGCCCACAAAATCCAGGAGTCACAATCACAGGCACCTGTGGGAGGGCCGGTCCCAGGCAGTGGGCGGGGTGAGGGGCCGGGTCCCAGGCAGTGGGCGGGATGAGGGGCTGGCACAGTCCTGCGTGGGAGCTGTGGTCAGGCAGCGGGCGGGGTTGCCTCATGCACCAGGGCCGTGGGCACAAGTGTGGCTCTGGCCTGGGGAGGATGCGAAGGCCACGGCTGGACGGTGGCAGGTGGCCTTTGGCATGGGGAGCCACCAGGGGCTCTAGGAGGGGTGAGGGGCACCTGCCTGACCTCCGGGCCCAGGCAGAGCCTGTGCAGATGCGGGCCCATGTCTAAGGCAACGGGCTGGGTCATGGGTTATGGTCTGTTCAGGGGTCAGCAAATGGCAGCCCATGGGCCAAACCAGCTCCCGCTTCTGTCAGCAGCTGTCGGGGACACAGATGTGCCATCGGCTCCCCGCCCGCCTGTGAACCCTGAGACTCGATGCTGCAGCCCCGCGGGCGCCTGGGAGTTGCAACGGCCTGAGTTGCATTTTAACTTCAGAAAAGCAAACCATAAAGTGGTCTGCACAGCACGACCCTGAGCACACAGCGAGACCTCCTTCCTCACTCTCCCCGCCTTGACCGTCCCTTGTCCTGCAGGAGCTTCCGGGACCCAGCTGAGCATCTGGGACCCACCTGAGTGTCTGGGACCCAGCTGAGCACCCGGGACCCACCTGAGCGTCTGGGACCCACCTGAGCGCCCGGGACCCAGCTGAGCATCTGGGACCCACCTGAGTGTCTGGGACCCAGCTGAGCACCCAGGACCCAGTTGAGCGCCCGGGACCCAGCTGAGCGCCCGGGACCCACCTGAGCGTCTGGGACCCA